AGGCACACTCCTTCTGGAAACCGGGCTCAGACCTGCCTGACTTGATTGGCCTCTCTTGGAAAACGAGCATTGAAACGGCTCCGGCACCGTGGCTGGGCAGTGTTTGTGCAGCCTGGGGAGTGGTTTTCATATTAAAGAACCAAGGGTGCTGGGCTCCCTGCTCAATATTTCATCAGCATTGGAAAGTATTCACCGTTCAAGGACTGTGCATTTCTAGAAACAATGAAAAGCCAAAACTGTGAAAAATTAAGGAGTGGCCCTGAAGCTGGTGTCTGTAACTGCATGCTTTAAACGGAACAGACTGATATAAATATTTTAACCCTGTGCATAGATAGATGGATAAGATAAAATAAATTAGTCATGTTCCAGCCCTGTCTGGAGACTCTCTGAAAGCAGGACTAATGTCAGCATTTACTATTTATTTAGTGGTTACAATTAAAATCTCTCCTTCTAGGCTACGATTCTAGAGCCTCAAAGATGGAATTAGCTGTTTTGTTGTGATTTGACAGTTATTATTGACATGTAGAGAAAGTAACTTTGCCCCCAAAATATAAAACACAGTTAACAATCTCTCTCCCTTTTTAATTTAAAAATAATCTCTGCAAAGATTCTGCATTTAGGTTTCTCTTTGCTATATTAAAGTGGCATGCATTTTTATTTTAGAAGGCGGACATGTTTTGCTGTGCCCAGTGTGAGGAGGGGGACATGAAAGAAGGGGTCTTTTGAAAATGTGCCAATCTACTTACACCCTAAAAATTGCAAGTGCCAGACATTTTTCTTGGAGGAAATAAATGTCTCCAATTTATTCATCTTACCTGTTGATTACATTTTATAATGATTTATTTTACAATTTAATCCTTGTCTAGAGCTGAGGCCGTCTTTGGAATATAAGAAGCCTCAGTCTGTGTGGTCCATGAGCTGTGGGTGCCTCTGTTAAAATCATTGACCACCGCAGCCGGGCTCAGGCAGCTCCCGGGACGGAGCTGGCCTGCATGCCGTGCTCATCCCACCACGCCTTCAGAAAACAAGTGACAGAAGACATATGCTCAGCTCACATCATGTTGTTCTCATTTATTTTAAACCAGTTAAGATGATTTTAGCACAAAGAGTGGTGAATCTTTGCTACATTATGAGAGCCATTGGATTTTCAAGCTGGAGTATAATTTTTTGTTTTTATTTTTTAATCCAAATTTAGAAATTGCCTTTGGAGTAAAAAAACAGCATGCTGTTTCACCTTTTAACTCACTTTTAAAGAAAGATACTTAAGATCAAATACATTCGTTCTGGAGATTGGTCCTCGTCAGTTGTTTTCAACGGGCTGGCAATGGCCCACTTTTGAAAAGAACATAAGAAAAGGGGTGTCCCACACAGGCATAAGGAATTCTTCTGGGCTGAGCTCCTACCCCAGAAGTCCTTCCATAGATGTGTACTGAGTCCTTGTCTTGTGCACAGTTTTTCCTTCCAAGGAAGAATGTGGCATTTGGCTCTAATATCATCGTGTGGAAAAGAGTCCTTGCCTGGCTGAGACACGGTCACACTCAGCTAGGCCACTTCCCACAAGCTGGAGCATGCCCCTCAAGTGATAAAGGGACCAGTGCGATACCACTATTTTAAAGCAAACCCAAAACAATCTTTGCTAATTGTGGTTCCACCCTGGCTGCAGGCACCACCTCTAGTAATGGGAAAAAAATATCAGGGACACAGGAAACACATGGGATCCCCTGGGAAAATGGCCTGGAAGCTACTGTAGGGCCATGGGAGACCCGAAGCCTCCATCCAGGTCCTGCGGCTCTTCACCACAGTCCCGCAAGCCTCAGCCTCAGCCTCCCAGATTTCAATAGTACCAAGGGTTGTTACAGGGACAGGACAGCGGCAGCCAATATTTGCATAGCAAAGCCACCCAGTTTCATTTTCTATTTGAAAGTATTTCTGTAAAGGGCAAAGTGCTAGAGACACATGAACTACTGCTGTTAATATTATCTTCATAACTTTTCTGTCAATACACAATGATTACTGTTTACATTAAATTCATAAATTTTAACAACTCATTTCATTCTTGTAATGAATTATATCTATTTGACTTATGATACATATAATGGTATCAGTAATATAGTCCTGTTCTGATCATGAAAGCAATGTGTGCTCATGGTAGAAAGTTTGGAAAATACAGAAAAATGCAAGTAAGGGAAAAAATTGCTCATCATTCCTCCCACGCAGAGACCAGCTCTGGTCACACTTTCCTGTGTTTCCTTCCAGGCTTTTCTCTCTGCCGAGTGGCTCTTGTCCATTCTTGCAGCATCTATGTTCAGAGAGTTGCATGGTGCTTTTCTGCTCTGTCCTCTTTGTCTGCTTTGCCCCTCTGGCCGACAGGCTGCCTCCTTCAGGCGGGCCCAGCTCGGCTCTTGTCCATTCTTGCAGCATCTATGTTCAGAGAGTTGCATGGTGCTTTTCTGCTTTGTCCTCTTTGTCTGCTTTGCCCCTCTGGCCGACAGGCTGCCTCCTTCAGGCGGGCCCAGCTCCGGCCTGGGTGTTCAGGGAGAAGACCGCGGGCTCCTCGGCACCCAGCTCCCGGCCCTCTGTTCTGGGAGCCCTGCCGGGGCGGGCCAGACAAGCCAGCAGCTCAGCAGGCCCACGGGCCGACCCAGGGGGGGGGCGAGCG